TCCTCCTCTCCTCTTCCTCCTCCTCCTCCTCCTTTCGAGCCTTTCGAGCGCGGCCCAATGGCCTCCGCGAGACCGTGGCCGTGGGGCCTCCTCCTCCCTCCTCCTCCTCCTCCTCCTCCTCCTCCTCCTCCTCCTCCTCCTCCTCCTCCTCCTCCTCACCGAGCGCGATCCCCGACCCCAGAGCTCGAACGTATTGGAAAAATCAAGACGGAGGCTTTTCGCAGTTTTCGGCCTCCAGGGGCCCTCGCTGGGCCCCAGGACCGTCAAAAAACGACTCGGGAGGAAAAACTGGTCCTCGGGAATGGCACGAGACGTCGGGGGACCTCGTATTAAAAAGACCACGACATCGGATCTCTGGGACTCGCGAAAGTCGGCTGCACGTAAGTCACCAAGCGCGTTCCAATACTCGAAAAGTGCCGACTCGCAATCGTCCGCGCAAACAAGACATGCCGTCCTGTATGTGATGGATCGTAAATCCTTGGCGGCGGATCCAGGCCATTTGCGATTAGTAAATGTGCGAGTAATGGAACGCGCTTGTCTAGTAAGAGTGGCCTTTCGCAGGAGTGACCTTTGGTGCGGGCCCAATGGGGTCCCCCGATCGCCGATCGCGATGCGGCAGTAGCGTCTGGCGCGCTTGTGTTTGGCCCCCCCGAAGCCCCCAAAAAGCCGCGCGCCAAGGGTCACTCTTACCCAGGGTCACTCTTGCGTGTAGTCGAGACTCGCAAGTGTCGCAAGTCCTCCGCGGCGGATCGGGGCCATTTGCGAGCAGTTACTTTGCGAGTAGTGGAGCGCGCTTGTCGAAGGGGTGGGGGGGAAGGAGGAAGGGAGAAGAGGTGCATCGAAGCTGGAGTACGGTCAACGCGCCTAGTAAGGGCCCGCGCCTTCATCTGGGGTGCCCTTGTGTCCTTGCCTCTGCGGCCCTTCCCTTGTTGTGGTCACTGGTCGCCCGCCGCCCCAAGAAGTCCCAGCTTCGGCCCCCAAGGGTCTCGCGTCCTTACCACCCGCCCTTACACACGTTTTGGCTGTAATGGGTTTGGCGCAGATGGGTCGGCGGTGGGAGGCTCGGGCGCTCCTCCTTCTCGTCCTCCTCGTCCTCCTCCTCCTCATCCTCCTCCGCCTCCTCCTCCTCGTCCTCCTCCTCATCCTCCGCCTCCTCCTCCTCTTCCTCCTCCTCCTCCTCCTCGTCCTCGTCCTCGTCCTCGTCCTCTTCCTGAGGGGGCAGTTGTTTTATTCTGGGTGCGGGGCCCCTGCAGGCCCAATTCGGGCTTGGGACTTCTCAAAAATAGTTTCTGTCGTGGCTCTAGGCTCGAGGCTCGCGGCGCCGGCTTTGTCTACCCCTTTTCTGTGCAATGTGATTGCAGACAATAAGTACCTTTTGATATCGCCTGCTTCATGGGCGCCTTATGTGCACCAGTTCTCGTCTGTTCGGGGGCTCTCCGAAAGAGTTTGGTCAGGCGGCAGGGCGTTGGCTGGCCAAGGCAGGCCATGTCTCTGGGGCCACCTCCAACAAGATGGTCAAGATCGATTTCGCATATAACATGGTGGTGCGGTACCTGGACGCTGCACGCGCGGACGACTACGTCCACGAGGTCTTCGGCGCCGTGAGCGTCAACGCGAAGCTTTCGATGGTCAAAGTGCCCATTCAGAAACGTTTTACCACCTACCGGAGCCGAGCACCACCGACGATGAGAGCACCGACCCCATCTACAACGCACCCGCTGCAGTCGGGGCCTCTCGGCGGACCGACGACGCCACGCGTGGCAGCAGGGCGGGCGAGCCCGATCGCGAGCCCGATCGCCCCGTCTTTGAGGTCGGGCCGGACGGGGGGCCAGCAGACACGTCCCCAGAGGTGGATAAGGCCGCCAGCGCTGGCACATATTTTAGCGGCTTGGGCTCCGCTCCGGCTCTCGACGTGCGCGACGCGGCCGATCGTAGGCCCAGCAGCTCCCCCGAGACTTTCATTGGGAAGCCCGAGACAGCGACCTTCGACGACGAAGGCGCGGCACGACTGCCGGAGCCTGCCGCTGCGACGGAGACGCCCGCCGTCATTACACCAAGCAGCATCCGCACCAGCGACGGCGAGCTCGAGGTGCTTGAATCTCTCTCTCGGCACGGCGGCCGCACGGCAGACAGGCCTCTCGACTGTCATGATTACGTAGCTGCGCAGTCCCTCTGTTGCGGCGATTGGGATCTATCTCGCGATGCGGCTGAGCACTGGGGCTCGCGCCGGAGGCTACTGTTGATGGAGCGCGAAGCTCTCGCCCGCGCGACGGCAATTTAAGCGTTGCCTCCCGTCCCGCCCCCCTCCCTCCTGCTCTTTTAAACGTCGCTTTTAAACTGCATGGGTCTTGTCCCCGCCAAACGGTACATCATAGAAGTAGATGCGTTGTGAGGAACCTCTTTCGGTATAGCACAATATCTGGGTTGCGTAGCATCCCACGACTGTTGCAACGTAGTTTTTGTGCATGGTGATGTTCGTCGCTCGCGTTTGGGAAAGCCTTCATGAAGGGCCGCGAAGTACCTTGTCTTGCCCCTGGACGGGCGTCGTTCGTTGTTGTTTTCGTCCGTCCTCTCTGTGGCCAGTGCGCTCCTCCTCCTCCTCCTCCTCATCATCATCCTCATCCTCATCCTCATCCTCCTCTTCCTCCTCCCAGCCATTTCCAGGCCTCTGGAGCGAGATGAGGCAGCGCACTTGGACGTGGTGCAACTACCTCGGTCCAGCTTCTAACGCGTCAGATGCTTCAGCAGAGCAAAGGCCCAGGGCCGCTATCCCAGTGGCGCTGCTCAGGATCCCTCGGCGGGCACGAGGATCGAGGGCCCTCCAAACAATCGAGCGCAGAGGGACCACGCAGCCGAAGGCCAGCCCCACCAAGGCCCGCACGGGCAAGCAGGGCCAGGGACCGCCGCGGGAATCTCCACTAGAGCGGAACATCAAAGATGCGGTGGCCCAAATTAAGAAGGAGTTTTAAAAAGAACCGCAGGAGGCGTTGCTCGGCGACCCCCCAGTTGGGCGTTTCGGAGGAGCACCAGAGGGCCATCTCGGCCAAGGTCGGCGGGGGCTCCAAGGATGCGCCGGCCGAGGAACAGCCCGCTGACCCACGCACGAAAGGACTCAAAGACTTGCTCCAGTGTCGCGCCAAGCGAAAGAAGCAAGTGGCCACGTCAAGGGAAAGGATGCGCATTGCCGAGGAAGTGGCAATGCTGGCCGCCAAGCTTTTTAGTGAAAAAGAGGAGCAATCTGAGAAGCACGACCTGGCTCTGGTGGAGCTGGGGTCGATCATCAGGGCGAAGAGATCGCCACGGCGGCCCCAGCGCTCGGCAAGCCGAAGGACTGCCTCGGGGTGTCCGGCGCGGACAAGGCGCTCGCGGTCCGCCACAGGTTGCTCGAGCCGCTCGCGCAGATGAGCGATCTGCCAGGGCTCGCCGCGAAGGCCGCCACGCTGCATAACTCGGTCAACGACGCCAAGCACGGCCGGTAGTCCGAGGCGAAGGCAGCCGAGGACGAGAAGGCATGCACGGCGGTGGCCGAGGAGGCAGCCAGGCCTGTTGCGGGGGTTGCTACTGCCTCTGCTGGCAACGCCATTGGCAGCGACATGCCAGTGAACGATGGCGACGTCGACCTCGACTTTTCACGACCCCGAGCTGCCAGGGGAATCCAAGGAAGCAGGGGCGGGCGACTTCGACCTCGGGCAGGAGGAAGATCACGCGAAGGTCAGGCGCCTTCAGGATTTCCCCATGCCGAGCAGGAAGCAGCGAAGGGTTTACAGTCAACGCGCCTAGTAAGGAAAGCGCCTTGATCTAGGGTGCAGTTGCGTCTTTCTCTCTGCGGCCCGTCCTTTGCCGTTCTCATTGGTCGCCGGCCGCCCGAAAAATCCCAGCTTCGGCTTCACGTGATCTTGCGTCCTCGTCATCCTTCCTTGATATACGTTTTGGTTGCATCCAGACCATCGCTGGCGACCTCCCCTCTCAACGCTCGGCTCGGGTCGTCAGGGGCATCTGGGCAGAACCAACCCTGCCCCCCCCCCCCCCCCCCTCTCTGGGCAGAACCAACCCTGCCCCCCCCCCCCCGCCCTCGGGAGGGCGGGGTCGCGTGGGCGGGGGGGGGGGCAGTGGGCGGAGCCTTCCCCCCCCCCCCCCCCGCGTCGAGCTGCGAGCCTCGACATCGCGACGGCGAACATCACGATGTGTTTCTCGGGGCAAGATCTGCTGGCGAGATGGTTGGACGCGGGGGCGGGCTGGGGCGGCCCTCGGGACATCGCGCCGCGCGGCTGGGGTCTCCGAGCCGTACGTCGTGCCTGCATCGGCCCTCGTCTACGACGCGCCCTGCTGCTGGCGCCCGTGCGTCGCGAGACCCGCGGACGGCGCTGCTGCAGGAGCACCGCGTTATATATATATATATATATATAAAGGAAGGCAAAAAAAAAAAAAAACAAAAAAAAAAAAAAAAAAAAAAAAAAAAAAAAAAAAAAAAAAAAAAAAAAAAAAAAAAAAAAAAAAAAAAAAAAAAAAAAAAAAAAAAAACGCGATCTCCGATGGGCAGGCCTGAAGGCGGTCTTCGGGCAGGCGGAGCCCACGGGAGACGCGGTGACCGATGTCGCCCAGCGGCGCGGCGTTGTTCTGCCCCCCCCCCCCCCCCCCCATGATGGATGGCTTCGCGGGCCTCGGGGCCCCGCTCCACGTCGCCAGCCTCTACCTCAGCGCGAAGGTCGGGCTGGCCGAGCCAAACCTGACGCACCTCGTCGCGCATGACGGGCCTGGCGTGCCTGCGCGGGCCGGGGGCTGTCGGGGGCGACTGGGATCTGGAGCCAGATCAGATCAGGCGTGGGCCAGGTTGGCGCACAGGCAGCACTTGCCCGAGAGGAGCCAACTTGCGGCGATAGGACGCTCGACTTTTTTGTCGTCTCCAGGTTCCTCGGGGACTTCGTGGATGGAGTCGAGGCGGTGCGCGGCGCCAACATCGGCACGCACGTCCTTGTCAGGCTGCGGCTGCGAGGGCTGCACGCGGAGGCGGAGGTGCCCAAGGCGCTGCTCCCACAGGCCCACCCCATCGCGTTGCCAGCACCGACGCGCGCGGCCCCGAACGAAGGCGGCCATGGGAGGTAGGCGCGACCGCCACATGGCAACGGCGGTGTGGTTCGAGCAAGCAGAGAAGACTGAGAAGCACCTGACCTGCCTGAACGACAGCTGCCGCCGCACTGAAGGCTGAGTCGAGGCGTGCGAACACAGGAGGTTCCGCTGGCCATGGAGTGGAGGAGCCAGCTCAAAGACAGGACGTCGGCCGAGCACTAGTGTTGGGCGAGGCCGGCCTGCGCGCTGAGCCCCTTCAGCAAGCGATGCTGGGCAAGGGTTGGCACGGATACTTGGTCTTCAGCAGGCAGCCCTACGCCATCGAGGAGTTCGTCTGAAGGGGCGGCTGGTGGCCCAGGGTGGGGCCGCTGGTCAACTTGTCCGTCGAGAAGCTGCCCGAGGTCCTCGGCAGCGGCTCGGCCAGCGCGACATCCACCCTCATGAGCGCGATGGACGACGAGCACGCGCAGGCGCTGCGACGGCGGGGCGAACCGCAGCAGCAGGCGGAGACGAGGCCACGGAGTTCCCCATGAGGCCGCGGGAGCCCCTGCGGGTCAGCGCGCACAGGGAAGGCGAGGCCCGCCCGCTGGACTGGACCGGGGCGGGGCTCGGCGCCTCGACCCCCCCGCGGCTGCAGGCGTCCGACCTCGACGAGGCCATCGACGACCACGGTGAGAAGGCAGTGCTGGGCCGGGGCCAGCTCCGCCCAAGGAAGCCGAGGTGGCTGCCCCCACGGTACAAGGAGTTGTTTCGGGGGGACGATAGGGGCGAACAGCCACGGGGGAAGCAATACATGTATCCAGGGGCGCTGATGACCCGTGTCTGCGGCGAGGCTCCCTGGCGAATACGTGTAACGCCCGCCCTTGGGCTATTCGCTCCTATCGTCGCCGCCGAAAGTTCCTCGACGCGTTGCGGCGCTCGGAGCAGGAGCCTACCGAGAGCATTCTGCGGCTGATGCCGGGGCGCGTCCTGCCGACGCCCCTCTTCGCAGGGGGTGTTCGCCCCATCATCCTCAGCAGCATGTGGCTCAGGCTGTGACCGAGGACGATGCAGGCGCTAGGCTAGCGGCGGCCTGGGAGCGAGGCCCAGCAGGCGGCTTGAGGTGCGGTCGAGCAGGCCGTCCGGGCCCGATCAAGCTTAGCCAGCGAGTTCACCCCGAGTGTCGGCACAGTCCTCGGCAAGCCTTTTTCTTCCGTGACACGTGCTCTCTCCAACGAGTACAGCAGGAGAAAAGAATGGATCGTAATCGTTATCGTTGCCATCGGTATCGTTGTCATCGTTAACGTTGTCGTCGCATTCAGAGCCCGACATCCTGGCCTCCCACATGGGTTCAGAGCAGATAAAGTCGGAGGTTCGCGCCGCATCGCCGACGCATCGGCGATGCGGTTCGATGCGGAGCCCGTTTTTCTCCACGCCGACGGCACCGATGATGCATCGCTGACATCGCAGACGCAACGCCGATGCATCGCCGATGCGGGGCGCCCTTCTGACCCATCTACAGTCGAGGCTGATTCGAAGGTCGACCCCGCGAGATCAAAGGTACCCTCGTGTCCTGCGTTTCGCGAACCATGCCCTCTGCGTTCCTGTGGCAACGTGGCCCTGGGAAGGGTCTCGTGCCCCCTCGCTTGTCCTCCCCAGCGTTGCACACGGCACCGGACCGGAGAGCCCCCCCCTGAGAGGGAGACGCCCCCCCCTTCCATGCCATCGCGGCCGGCAGGCGCTCTACGAGAGCGGCCGCGGCAGGGCTTGTTTCGACCCTTGCGATTCGATTCGGTTTCGATGGTCTCCAGTTCCGATTCGATTCGACTCGGGATTCCGATGTTGGCTCCGATCTCTCAGCGGAGGCCTGCCAGCCTGCCGACTTCCGCCGATCCGACCTTTGCCGACTCGGCTGCCGATGTCCGCCGATCCGATCCGTGTCGATCGCCGAGCCGACTCGCCGATTCGGTTCTGGGCTCGCCTGCCTCAGGCTCAGGACCCACCTCGGGACGCCCGACGGCGGCGTGTTGACGCCCATGGCTGGAACCGTGGCCGCTGCGGCACCTCGCCGGGGCTACCGTGGAGACCCGTGCCAAGAGACACCCTGCTTGCCTCCAGCGTGCCCTGGGGTTCTCGGGTTCCGATGGTTTTGCGCTGGAGGGCGTGACGCTCCCGCACCAGAGATCAGTGGACGTCCTGGGGTCCCAGGCTCGGGCTTCCTGTGGAAGGTTCCTCGTGGTCGAGCTCCTGCTGTACACGACGTCCTGGGAGCAGTACGCCTGGGCCTTCCCAGCGACTCCTGGGAGGAACCGCCCCGACCGTGCCTCCGCTGGGGAAAATTCGATGTTTGAGGCCGCGCCGCCCGCGGCCGAAGGGCCGCTTGGGCGCCCGAGCGGCCGTGTGGCCCACGGCGGCCTTTCAGCTAGGCCTCGCTGGCACCGCCGGCGCGGGTAGGACCACGCCGCGCCACGGCGCCCCGGACCACTGCGTAGCAGCGGGGCGCCGGGACGAGCCCGAGCCGTCGCGCGCAAAGAGAGAGGCCGGGGCGGGCGCGCGCGCGCGCGCCAGGGAAGCTTCCAGAGTCCTCGGGAGGCTTCCACAGAGTGCACCTCCTCTCTTTCTCCCTCTCTCCCTCTCTCCCTCTCTCTCTCTCTCTCTCTCTCTCTCTGTCCCCCTTTTTCTCTCATCCCTCTACCCCTGTGTTGTGTTTCTCTCTATACATATATATACACATATACATATATACATATACATATATATATATATATATATATATGCATACGTGCATACATACATACATACATACATACATACATACATACATACATACATACATACATACATACATACATACATGCACACACACCTATATCTATATATGCATTTGTATGTATATGTATCGCTCTCTCCCCCTCTCTCTCTCGCTGTATCGTTATCTCTCTCTCTCTGTCGTGGTTGTTTCTCTCTCTCTCATATATATATATATACATACATACATACATACATACATACGTAAACGTAAACATATACACATATACATACGTTAGCCAGCGTGGATCCCAAACAGTGCGTTTCAAGCGATCTATGTGGTGCAATCAATGTGGTGTTATCTTTGTGGTGCAATAGTTGTGGTGTTATCTCTGTCGTCCAATATATGTGGTGCGATCTATGTGCGACCTCTTTGGTGCTATCTATGTGAAGCAAACAATGAAGTGCAATGTATGTGGTGCAACATACGTCGTGCAATATACGTGGTACAATGTATGTGATGCAATGTATGCTTTGCAAAGCAAAGCAATGCAAAGGAAGGCAACGCAGTGCAATGCAAGCGGGCGGCGACGGGGCGGCGACGGCGACAACAAGGGCGGCGATCAACAACCAGGCCCAGACGACGGGCGTCGACGTGGCGGCGACGGGGCGGCGACGGCGACAACAAGCGCGGCGAGGCAACCAGACCCAGACGATAGGCGGCGACGGGGCGGCGACGGCGACAAGTGCGGCGATCAACAACCAGGTCCAGACGACGGGCGGCGACGGGGTGGCGACGGCGACAACAAGCGCGGCGATCAATTACCAGGCCCAGACGACGGGCGGCGACGAGGCGGCGACGGCGACAACAAGCGTGGCGACCGACAACCAGGCCCAGACGACGGGCGGCGACGAGGCAGCGACGGGACGGAGACGGCGAAGACATAGTTGCCAGATCTACAACTCCCCCGTTCTTTATTCCAGGAATAAGAGCTCGTTTGTGCAAGCACTGTTTGGGGTATGTGCTTGTACCGAAGACTCCTACGGCGAATCACCGCCGCCCCATGCCTTTTTGGAAACGCCCATGTGGCCGAAAGCTGGGCTAGAGCTATCGGACCACGTGCGTCCCCCAGCTGTCGTTGAAACCTTTCGGGGAACACATGGGGAAGAGGAGAGTGAGGAGGAGAAGGAAAAGGGAGTAGGAAGAGGAGAAGAAGGATGAGAAGAAGTGGGAGGAGGACGCCTCTTGGAAGCCGCTGGGGGCACTCTTGGGGTCGCCAGGGAGCTTCCCAGGGCACACACACACACACACCCTGAAACGCCTGGAGCCTGCCTTGGGAGTAAAGAGGGCCGTCTCGGGGCCCCCTTGGACGGTCCTGGGGCCCTCAGGAGACCTTGTAGGCTAGTCTTGCGGCGTCTAGGCTCTGGAAAAGTCGCGACGCGCCCAAGAAGTCGCGCGGCGATCCTTGTGAATCATGCGGGCGGCCCCGAGAGATCCGGCAATTTGACAAATGTACTCATGAAGGAGCATCAGAAGTATTCAATATTGAGGGTTGAACATTCTTGAGGACCTGAGGACACTCCACTCAGTGATTATATCCTGTATCAATCGGCCCCCAGGGCTGGTTTATGAATGCGCCGTTTTTGATGGCGGGGGGGTCCTTTTTGGGGCACTAATCACTTGTTATTGCAAGTCATAAGTCGACGCCCCCAGGCGGGAGTGTCCCGCCGTCGGCGCACCGCGCGATGGCGGGCGCCCGCATGTCCACCCGCCACGCGCCGCCGCTACGTCGGGCGGGCCAGGCCCCGCGCGGGCATGCTGGCGTGCCGCGCGGCCGTGCGTCGGGGTCCTTCCTCCCTCCGCTCCTCCGTGCACGGTCGTGATGTGTCCTCTTTGCCGCCTGGCCGCGGGGCGGGATATCAAGCACCCGGTCATGTCTGCAGCGCCCCACCTGCCTAGTGTGCACTCTTAAGGTGGGGTGGCTGGGCGGGGCGTGGTCCTCTGTCTGCCAGTGTGCGGCTCTGGAACAACCCTGGGGGCGACGCGCGGGGCGTCCGTTCGCCAGAGTGCGCCGGACGCGACCGCGGTCGCGCTTCTTTTCTGGCCCAGTGTGGCCCCTCGTGGGCGTCGTTGTCTATGGCTTTTCCCTGCGGGTCCTGTGTCCCTTGGTTCACCTCGGGCCAACACCGCTGGTCCTTGGTGACCTACGCGTTGTTTCTCCACCCTGGCGGAGTCTGTTTCACGGCCCTGAGGGGTCACGGCATTGCTATCAAGCCCAGAGTGGCCTCTCACGTCGGCCCAGTGTGACCAACGTACCCATAGGGTTCCCCCTCGCGGGTCCAGAGCGACCCTCGCCTGGCGGCCCAGAGTGGCCATTCAGTAGCAGGGAAGCCGATGCCAGCCCGCATGTCTGGCGGCCCTAGAGCGGCCAATCTTCGATAGGGCGGCCGTTGCGGCTTGCCTGACTGCCAGCACACCCGCGCGTCTCGCTTGGAGGCCCATAGTGGCCAATCGTTGCAAACGTTTCTTTCGCATTCCCAGTGAACAGTCGAGCGCGAGACTCGCAGCGCGCCAGACTCGCAGCGCAAAGGCAGCGAACTCCCGCCGTCGGTCGACGGTTTTTGCTCTGGCTTCCGCAGGTTCGCAGCGGCTCCGAATGTCGGGTGAAGTCAGCGGCTTCTGCTTGCTTGCGATGGCGGAGCAGGCTGCGCAGGCGGCGCTCGCGCCGTTCGAGGCGTAAACAGAAAGGGGCCCCTTGGCGCGCACCGCATCCCGCGCGCGGGTCGCGTACGCAGACACAGCGTTGTCGCAGGCGCGCGAGCGGCTTCGCTACCTGCTGGTTAAGGGGGCGGGCCCCAGGCTGCAGGGGCGAGCGCCAAGGGGCCCGCCCCTAGCAATGCCAGCACCACCTGCCAACGAGAGCTGCCGGTCGCCAGTCCGACTCGGAGCAGTCGGCCCTCGGTTAGTAAGGCTGGAGCAGGTGTGGGCTGAACTGCGCTTCGCCCTGGCCCAATGCGCACCGCGTTTGCCGCGCGACGTCTGCCATATCATAATGGGCTACGCTAAGCCCCGGATCGTCTCTGCGCCCATGATACGCCACCGTCTAATGGACAATCCAGACAGCGGCGATGAAGCGCACTTCCGCCGGGCAAAGCTGCGAGCGCGCCCGCCAGCGCGGGTCGCGGGCGCCCAGGGCGGCGCACGCGACCACAACGCTTTTAACAAACGCGCGCGCTCGCGCCGCGCGTGTCGCCCCAGTGTGGATTTGCGCGCCCCCTCCCGCAACTGGAGGCCGCATAAGGGTCGCTGCGCGGGCTACTAAGCACGCCGTGTAGCGATGTCGTCTGACGACGAGGTGCCGCCAACGCAGCCCGCCTCATGTCGCGAGACGCGTCCCATTCGCCCTTTTGTGTGTTCTTACTGCGCGCGCGCGGGCGGCGGGGGCATCCAGCCCCCCAGCGCGATCGCAGCAGATCGTCGCCACGGAGGCGCACATCTGCCGCAGGGCCCTCAGGCAACCCCTCGATGGAGCTGACGGCCACGGTGCCGCTTGGGCCGTGCGCACGAAGCGCGAGGATCGACCAGCTGGCCAGCGCCTGCCTGCTCGGTAAGACGCGTGACCCGCGCTCACGGCCATAAGCGGACCAGGTTTCCGCAGGCATCTCGCGTTGCGTTCCCGGCGCCGCCGTTCCTCCCCCGCGTTCGGGGCGCGTGCGTTCGTTTTGCGTCTGCGAAGCGGCGGACCAGGTATCTGCAGGCACTTCGCTCGTGTTGCTACCGGCGTCGCCGTCTTTCTGTACGCGTGTTGAGTGCGCTGCGTTGCAGTCGGCCCGCCGCGTGATCCCCGCGTGCGCGAGCAGTGCGACGCTGGTGTTTTCTGGCTTCTTTGTTCGTGATGGCGGACGGACCGCTGCTGAGCTTTCTGCGCCAAGACCCCGTGTTCGGGGCAGAATGGTCGGACATCGAATACAAGGCTGCGATTGACTGCCTAGGCGCTAATAAGCTGCTGACGCCGGCACGGCTGGCGAACATTCGGCTAGAAGAGCTGTCAGGCTCGGAGGGCCTGCCCGCGGGCGTGAAAGGCGTGCTCCGCCGCTCGCTGGAGCGCGCCACAACTGCGGGTAAGCAGGTAGCGTACACGAGCGCGCCCGGCGAGCCCCCCGGGTCTGCACGCTCGCATCGGGGCGGAGGCCAATGTGGAAATGGCCGCCCCCGTACACCACGTAGACGTGGGCGCTGAGTTGGCGACGATTACGTTGAACGGCCTCAGCCAGACGATCTGGCCGAGGCGCGCCCTCACGTGAGCGCGCCAGCGGCGGTGACAGCGGTCGCTGCCTTGCACAGGAGCGAGAAATCTGATTGGATGGCTGCCGAGGTCGCAAGCGCGAGACAGAGGGGCTGCGCGAATCCTTTCGTTTACTCTGATTTGCGCGGCTTTCTCCCGACCTGGGCCGCGAGCGCCCACGGGGTCGACGACGCAGACGCCAACGGAGTGACGGCTGAGCGCGGCAGTAAAGGTCAGCGCGCGTGGGCCGAGTTTCACCTCGCCTACGACGCGTGGGCGATTGCGGCTGCTGCCACTAAGCAGCTATCTTACGCACGCTGCTTGGAGCATAAGCGATTTGTGCTCCAGGTCCGCGACGCGCCAGCGCGCACACGCAGCGGCGCGCGCACCCGTTGCCTTTCGCGAGGTGGCCTTGGAAGC